TCCAGTTTTGCTTTTCTTTTTAAAGATTGCTTTGGCTATTTGAGGTCTTTTGTGGTTCCATAGAAATTTCAGGATTGTTTGTTTTAGTTCTGAGAAAAATGATGTTGGGTATTTTAATAGAGATTGCATTAAATCTGTAGATTGCTTTGGGTAGTATACACATTTTAACAACATATTTGTTCTTCCAAATTATGAACATGGAATGTCTTTCTATTTCTTTGTGATGTCTTGAAATTTTTTTCATTGCTCTTTTATAGTTTCACGTATAGGTCTTTCACATCTCTGGGTAAGTTTCTTTCCCCTCAAATACAGTATTGTGATCATTTCCATGGTAAATATGTAAAATATGAATAATAGAATGTATGTGTCTATATCTAGTCTTTTGAGGTCTTTTGAGGACTTTCTTTTATATATAGCAACATATAGTGCCCTTTATCCTTTCAGCAAAGCACATGTAATCACTACTATCCTGTGCATTCCCCTGTTTGCCTGTTAAATGACTGGTTAGTGGGGAACCAAAGATTCCAGTGAGTCAATGTCCATAACTTTGTGCATAACATAGCTATATTACCACATACAACAACAATCTGGTGCTAATATTTTGCCCTTGGCATTCTTAGATGGTGGCTGATTCTCCCCCCCCCCCCCCCCCCCGTCATAGCTTAGCTCTATAGAGCGAAATTTCAGTCAGGGGTATTGCCTGTGGCTTTTGTCCTGTAGTCCACTGTGGAAAATGCATATATATTTCATGCTGGACACTTCCCACTAACCTCTCAACAGATCATCCTGCTTGACCTTAACAAAATAAATAGTGTGTTTGAGTGAGTGGGAAAAAAATTTTTACAATGGTTACCAAATGTTAATTTTTAATCTCTTAGATAATACAGGGAAGAGGGAACCATAGGATGTGGAATTGGGGATGTGGCAATTAACGACTAGAATACATCCAAGCTTTTACAGAAGAACAGACTATCTGATTATTTACACTATGTTGGGCCATTACTTTCAGAGAATTAGTAGGCAAAGTTCACTGTAAGATTCCTTATCTTAGGGATGGAGGGAATACATTTGGTTCGAACTTGGAAAGCAAGCTAGAGGTTAGTCTTTTAAAAAGATTGTGAAATCTTTATAATGATTTCGTGTATATTAAAAAATATTGTTATATATAGTTGGAAATTTTAATTTTTTTTTTAATTTTTTTTTCAACGTTTATTTATTTTTGGGACAGAGAGAGACAGAGCATGAACAGGGGAGGGGCAGAGAGAGAGGAAGACACAGAATCGGAAACAGGCTCCAGGCTCTGAGCCATCAGCCCAGAGCCTGACGCGGGGCTCGAACTCACGGACCGCGAGATCGTGACCTGGCTGAAGTCGGACGCTTAACCGACTGCGCCACCCAGGCGCCCCGGAAATTTTAATTTTTAAAATTACACCCATTTATTGATGATAAAAAAAGTAGAAAACCATCTGATAAGCATAAATTGTACACAGTGAACCAGGAAGTTATTCTTGCTCTTCTTACGCTAAAGGGTCTAGAAAGGGAAGACTGGCTCACAAGACCCATATAAATAGTCTGCCAACTTGAATAAACGTGTTTTTCTTAGCAATGTCCTTGTACGTTATATGCAAGACAGGGAGGCAGCCTTGTGTGGTGGCAAAAGCATAAGACTTGGATGTCAAAGGTCTGATTTGAGATTCTAGAGCCATGACTATGAAAATCATGACTATTTTTGTATCTTTCAATAATAATGTTTGTTTTATTGTCCTTAAAGTATTTTTGTCAGGATAAATGATTCATAAAAAAAAATCATTCAAGGGGCACCTGGGTGGCTCAGTCAATTGAGCATCCAACTTTGGCTCAGGTCATGATCTCACAGTTCGTGAGTTCGAGGCCCGTGTTGGGCTCTGTGCTGGCACCTAGGAGCCTGGAGCCTGCTTCGGATTCTGTGACCCCAATTCTCTGCCACTTCCCCGCTCATGCTCTGTCTCTCTCTCTCAAAGATGAATAAACGTTAAAAAAAATTTTTTTTAAATCATTCAAACTTGTACATTTCTAAACAAATTTCAGTAATTACGGTTACTATTAATAATACTTGTGGATCATTAAGAACTGGTTAAAATTATAAACTCTCCAAAAACTTAAGACTCAGAGAAAAGATCTTAAGGACTAAATTCACTTGGGGTGCCTGGGTGGCTGAGTCGGTTGAGCGACTTCTGCTCAGGTCATGATCTTGCAGTCTGTGAGTTCCAGCCCAGCGTTGGGCTCTGTGCTGACAGCTCAGAGCCTGGAGCCTGCTTCAGATTCTGTGTCTCTCTCTGCCCTTCCCCTGCTCATGCTCTCTCTCTCTCTCTCTTAAAAATAAATAAAAACATAAAAAAAAAGACTAAATTCACTTAAAGCCGACTTTCAATAGATCAATTAATTGTACTTCCTTATAATTTTTGTTTCTCAAGTGCATGCTCTTTATGGATAATTTTTCTTAATTTAAAAATAATAATATACATTTTAATAGATGGCAATCAAATTTGGAAATTGAAATATATTGTCTTTCTGCTTCCTAGCTTACTTTATGAAGGTTACACACTGGCTTATTTTATAATTACCCTAATGATCATTCAGCTTCTGAAATGTGTGTTGTTTTTTTTTGTTGTTGTTGTTGTGGTGGGGTTTTTAGTTTTTGTTTTTGTTTTCTAGGAAGCAAATTATATTTTGTCCAGTGTAAAACTTTTGTACTCTTTGTGAATAATATGTAAGAAAATTGATGAAATTTAAAGCTTATGGTGCTTCAGTTTACTGTGAAATATATATATATATATATATACATATATATATATATATATGGTATTAAGTGCTATTTATAAGGAAGGACTCTTTGGATTGGCTACAATAGTAGATGAAGAAATAAATTAATCGAAGTTATTTTCCTGTATCTACCACTTAGTATGCTAAACTGTGTACTTAATCATCATGTAAGGGAAACACACAGAGATTCATAGATAGATTTTTCTTGCAGTAGAGACATTCAACAAGACAGCTCTGAAGTATGTGATTAACTTGAAATAATGGTGGCCCTTAGGGTTCCAGGCTTTTTCTACTTCATAACATTTTAGGTCTGTTATTACCTTAGGTGAACCCAATTCCCCAAGAAAGAAGATGCTGAATTAATTCTTCTGTGACTTATGTCATCAATATATCTAGGATAGAAATAAAACTATGTGTCTCTACCATTTATGAGATTCTCGTAGCTATTTTTTTAACATTTCACAAAAATAGCTGAATTTTCTATACCGTTATAATGATTGTAGACTCAGAAATCTTCATGTATAGCCAAGTAAGATTAAACATATGTGTGCACGTGCACACACATGCATACATGAAAATTCATTTATTGTGCAGAATTCAAGAATATTCTTTTATTGGATTTTCTGTGATACAAGATATAATAAAATAAGAAGTTCCTTCAAAGTAAATGTTTCTTTGCCTTACTGTCTCCAAGCACAGCATACAGTGAATGAACCCTAGTCAATTTCTGAAGCTTTGCAGGACAGATTGCACATGCTACCTTACTTACTGCCAGGATGCATCACACACACTTGTTTGGGAGTTTATTTCTAAATATAACCCAAATCCTGTTTTTGTTTGAGCAAAGATCAGCTACAAATATAACTGATCATAAATCTTTGTGTAATAACCCAGAATAGACATGAGACATTATAGTCTGGTTAATAATGATTTGATATATAGATGAATTTAATTAGAACATATTTATTGAGTAAACTCTTAAACTATTTTTTCAAACTATATTGAATTCTAGTAAGATTGTCTAATTGTCTAATGAGTATCTACTAAGATAATCTCACTATCTTCTTAGTTTGTGCTAGTGTATCATATTATCATTAGTTTCGTGTTAAGAAAGCAGTTACCTAATTTTTGCTTTGCTCATATTTCTCTGGAATTTTTTGTAATCTTTTCAGTAAATACATTTCCATAAGTGCTACAAAGCAGATGTGCCCATAAAATAAAAGTAATTCAAAGAGGAGAATTAAACATGCAAGCTTAAAAAGTTATACCTTAAACAGTAAAAATTTCATCATATTAGTGACTGTCCTAATAGTATTAGAGGAAGAAATTTTTAATAGTGAAACAATGGCAAAATTACAGAAGTAATGAGAAGAATGATCTATAACCAAGAGTATCAATCCAGAACAACTACCTAACCAGGCATTTTCCAAGGAGAGTTATATGGTGCACCAATATATCATGATATAATATGTTATAATTTATTATGAATATTTCCCCAAGAGTTTTATAATAAAAGAAAATGCAAAATCCTGCATGTTACAGTCTCTTCTTGTGAGTTACAATGCATCTAAAGTTTCTGAGAAGTCTTTAATTGGAAATATGTAGGTACTTTTTATTGTGGTAAAATACACAACATAAAATTTACCATTTAAGAATGTACAATTCAGTGTCATTAAGTACATTCACGATGGTATATAACCATCACCACTGTCTAGTTCCAGGTATATAACTTTGTAATTGTTAATTTGACCATGAAACAGTTTTCTCCTGAATATCTTTTAATTTTGTTATGTCCAGGAAATGTATTTATGGAAACACCAACCTAATCCAATCCTCCCAATTTAAAACTTAAAAACAGAAAGTGTGATCTTGAGAGATTAAATGCCTTCCTCAAGATCACACACGTAGTTGGTATACAGCCAGTCAATATCTCATTCCTATTTCCCATTTCTAAGAACAAAGGCTTTTCTATTTCAAGATATTTTCCCTTGTTTTTACTTATGTTGCCTGGATCTGACAATCCAGTAATCTACAGACGATACGTTACAATTTTACCTAGAGTATTCAGGATTAAAACAGATACATCACTTTTTAATAAAGGACACTGCACTTGTTTTGTAACTCTCTCACTGTGATTTTCTTATGAGAACTTGCCTTGTAGGAACTCTCTTTAATTTGCATAATTCTTCTGTTCTTAGGTCTTTTTAAGATTGTGGCTGATAAAACCCCATACCTTACTATGGAAGAAATTACGAGGACCATTCATATTGGATCAAGTAGACTAGGGCATCCTTCCTTCTATCATCAGAAGGATGTAAAACTAGAAAATCTCATGATAAAGCACGGTGAGCAAATCATGCTCAACTCAGTTGAAGAGATCAATGGAGAAATATTGGTGAACTGTGGAGTGGTAAGGAATCATCAAAATCACTCATTTACCTTGCCTTTGTCACAAGAAGGAGAATTCTATGAGTGTGAAGATGAACATATTTATACCCTAAAGGAGATTGTCGAATGGAAGATACCCAAGAACCGAACACGAACTGTGAAACTTACAGGTTTTTCAAATAAGTGGGATTTAACAAATCCATTTCCTAAAGGCTTTTACGGTGCTCTGATTCTCAAGCCTGTTTATGAAATTCAAGCTGTGATGAAATGTAAGTATTCACTAAGAATGATGCTCTATGGGGGCACCTGGGTGGCTCTGTCATTTAGTGACAGTCTTGGTTTCGGTTTAGGTCATGATCTCACAGTTCATGAGATCAAGCCCCTTCATGGAGCCCCACATCCGGCTTCACACTGACATCGCAGAGCCTGCTTGGGGTTCCCTCTCCCCCTCTCAAAATAAATAAAATTTAAAAAACAGAATGATGCTCTATAAGTATGAGCATTGTGGGGTTTGGGAAAGAGGCTCTTTAAAGTTTGAAGAATGGGACACTGTCCTGACTTGTCTTTTGAACCTGCTGACAGATTCTCATCTATAAATAAGTAAACCACTTAGTTGGTACAAGGATCAAATTGAATAATATATATAAATATATATTGTAAATTGTGTGGTGCTATCCAAATGTAAATTGCTGCAATTGTCAGATGCAGACAGATTAACCTACTAATTCATTTCTATCTCTGTCAGTTAAACATGGTCAGAAAAGAGCTACTTTTTAGGATAGAGTTTAATTTGTTTGAAAGGGGCTTTCTTGTACGGACGTGGCCTACAAAGTGGCAAAGATACAAAGTTCCTTTAATGTATTCCTTACTAGTATTTTTGTGATGCCTTTTCTTTTTTTCTTTTTTTCTTTTTTTTTTTTCTCAACTACCCATCACTGGTCATAAATCCTATTAGCTGAAAGTCCTTCTGACTTAAGGGAAATGATGTGGCAAAATAATTCACACATAAGTATGTTTTAATATGTAATTTAGATAGGATTATTTGCATTTAAAAATAGGAAAAGCTCGAGAGAGCATTGTTACCCTAAAGGAATTAATACCTTGAGTTTTCAAGGTATTGCACGTGGAGTTTTCAAGATTATAGCACATGGAGCAAAGAGTTCTGTATTTGCAATCAAAGTCCTGGATTCTAACGTTGGGTCATTAACTTTGGTAGGTGGTAACTTTGGGTAAACCATTTAAGCTGTGTCTTTGCAAAGGGGATAATGATACCTCTTTTGCCTACCTCTTAGAGTTGTTTTGAGAATGAAATAAGATGGTATTAAGGTACTATATACAATACACTTGAGAAAAAAAAGTATGTAAAAATGTTTGGTCAAAGGTTGTCCCATGAACATCTCAAATTCTATTTATCTCTATTCCTATACATATTGTTGGTCACTTATATAAATATGAAAAAACTTATGTGTTTTAGAACCACGTGTTAAATTTTGTAGCATGTTAAGTATTTAACTAGAAATTGATTAATTCATCTGAATTAAAGGTACAGGTAAGGAATTTCACTCAAGTAGTGATTATATTTTAATACTACAAAAAATTGAGACAACAGCATGATCATTTTTTAATATGACAAAAAATGGAAGTCGCAGCAAATTTTAGATCTCACATTAGTGTTTTGTTAGCTGTCCCCAAATGTATAATTGAAATTGATAATTGAGTTTTCCTCAGTTTTCATAAATAATGAATATAGCATTTTCTCATTTTTAAATTTGTTAGTTTTTAAAAACCACCGACATCTCCTATCACACAGCTGCAAATGTAGACTAACCCACAACGTAAGCATGTGAACAAGGTGGTTACTGAGTTCAGTGAATTTAGGTCAGGGGTCAGCAAGGCTTCTGTGAGGAAATGGCATTTAAACTAACACCTGAATGACGAATAGGAGCTGATGAGGCAAAGAAAGAGGGAACAGCATTGGAGGAAGTGGTAACAGTCTCCAGGAAGGCAAATAAGCAAGATATTGGAGCTCCAGTGCAGCTGATATGAGAAAAGAGAGGGCAGATTGAGACAAATATCAAAACATACAATGGGGTCGTGGAATCAGTCATGGAGAGTCTTGAAATATATGTTAAGGAGTTAACGTCTTTCCACAGGACAAATTAAAAGGGTTTCAGTGAAAAGGACAGGGGCAGAGTCATGTAGTAAGGCTATTGGATATGCAGTAGGGTATTGGGGGCTTAGTACAATAGTGATATCAGTGGGACACTTGCTCCTACTGGGTATTTAAGAAGTACAACCACCAAGATTTGGAGGTCTTTTGGAAGGAGGAAAGAAATCAATCTGATTCCCAGGCATCTGACTGGATCTACTGGTTGGCTGGTGATGCAATTTACTAAATATAAACATTGACAGATGAGCAGGGCATTATTAACAGAATTGTTTAGATGGACTTATATATTGTTTCATGCTAACCCAGGTCCCAGAAGAAAGCCTTTGGTTAAAATAAAGACTTTTCCAAAGTTTTTTGGTCCAATTTCCATTATTTAATGGTATTGAAATTGAATTTTGATTTAAATTATTTTGTATCTTTAACTTCTTAGGGGTTATTTTAAACATTAGTTCTTTTTGTAAGGCAATTTCAGGACAGATGCTGTATGGGACTGCTTTGCATGTATACTGACTGCAGAATATTTCCTAGAAATAGAGGATGGTTGTCCAACACAAAAAGCCCAGTTTTAAAAATTGTTGTAGACATTTTTTCTTCTAAATATAAAATGTAGACTATTTTTTAAAATCAATTGTGGTCTTGTTTTAAGTTATTCTTTCTTATATTGAAGATTCAAACTTGCCTTGAATACAACAGTATATTGCTTGCTAAGTTACTTTTCAATGGCCTTGAGTGTCAGGCACATTTGAATACCCTCCTGTCTCAAGTCCTTCCTTTCTAAAGTGACAAGAAAAAGAATAGGTCTGTGTCAGGGATAGAAAATTTTAGAGAAACCTTAGGGATAAAAGCAAGATGAAAAAGATCGAGAACTATAGGAAGTTTTGAAATATTGATTTGCTAAAAGAGAACATAGTGAATAGAGAAAAGAAACAATATAACATATTTTATTCCTGGTGCTAGGTTTTTAATATGTTATTGATGTGAAGATTCAGGCATCGTAAACAAGTAGCAGGGCGTGTTTAAATGAAATATTAGTTCCTGGAAACTCTTGGTCATAATCCCCATTGCAGGCCTGAAGCCCCTCTGATTCTCGCTATACATTTCATGATTTGTAAAAATTTCTGCCTCTTTGAAAAATAGATACAAATAACCACCCAAGACCTTTAACTACTAGTCTTATATAAGTAATAGTAAGATCTGTTTGGCCTTTCATAGGAAGATAAAACTCATATTAGTGTGGCAAATGCATAATATTTACAAATGAAAAATTGAGCCAGCTCTTTTGAGTTGCCTCTAAAACTCAGAAGTCTTGCAAGTTAAAACTTGTTAGTTGTGCTGTGTTTTGATTTGTAGATTGATAATTATTTCTCCCCTAATGAAAATTCTGAGTTGAAAAGCTGCCTTTCATTTTAAGAAAGAAACCTCAATGCCTTCCAAAATGTGAGGGTACAGGTTTTGCTGAGATATATGATATATTAACTCATTTATAAGGAGAGGGCTGACATCACATGAGCAGAAAGATGGTATCAGAAAAGCAGTGTCTGAATATTGTATAATAGGTGATAACTCAATAGCAAAAAAAAAATACATTGATCTTTTAGTATTCTGAGACTTCCTTTTTCTTTCATTTTATTTTTAAAAAATAATCTCAATCTTTATCAAAGTCAAAAAGTCAAATAGTGGTCAAAGGACTTATTAGTGTGATTAGCACACTTTATGCCCTTGACCATTCCCAAATTTTCCCCACATTTTGCTACTTGGAGGTAACTACTTTAAATATTTTGTCCTTGCTTTCTTGTATTTGCATTTAAATTTCCAAATAACTAAAGAAACTGCCTATTTTATCAGGTCAATGACTTTATACAGGATGGAAGGACACTAATCCCATTCATGAGGGCTCCACCCTCATGACCTCATCAAATTCTAGTAACCTCCCAAAGGCTCCGTCTCTTAATACCAGCACCTATTGGTATTGTGGTATTGGAGTAGGGTTTCAACATGTAAATCCTGGAGGAGGAAGACAGTCCAAAATAGTGCTGTCCTGGGACTTCATTTAAAACCATCTGGGTAGGTCTGTTCTTTCATTACCATGGCAGTTTTTAGTCTGGAAATGCAGATATTTCATTTCTGAGATAATTTCTTTGACAGTTTCCTTTCAACTACTTTTTTTCCCTTTCCTCTTTCTGTAACATCTAATCTTATGTTGAAGATCCCATACTGATCTAGGACTATTTTCTTCTCTATTTTTCTTGTCTTCAGTTTACCTTTAGGGAAAATCCCTTAACTGCATTTCCAGCTGTTTTAATGAATTTTTAATTTCAGCTATCATATTTTTAATTTCCAAGAGTTATTTCTCACATCATTTTTTAAATGTTACTGTGTTCTTGTTTTAAGAATGCAGTATCTTATCTGAGAATATTTTACAATTCCTGAAAGTTTTCTGTGTTCCTTACGTTTTACCTGCCTCTTTCAGGCTTTTTAAAAGAAAGTTTGGATCTGTCATTCTCATTGACTGTTTTCCTTGAATGCCTGGTGATTATTCGCCATTTTTTCACATTTACATGTGAGACACTTTTTTTTTTTAAATTTACAAGTGAAGCACTATTTACATACAAGTTTTTTGTTTATGAATTTTAGGTTTCATTTTTTCAGCTTTTTCATCGGAGCATACCCCAAATTCAGCCTCTTGTGAGCCTTTCCTCTAGGACTTGTACAGTTTCACCTGAGAAGAATCTTTCTGATACCTTCCAGGGATTCTGAAACTATTGTAGCTGATGGGAAACTTGCTGAGGGTTTCACTATTCCCTACAGGTTTAGACTTACCTTCTTTGTTTTTAACCTGTGTTTCTTCCCTGCTCACCAATGCCTGGCCTCTGTATTTACTGTTAACGGCACAGAGTGGTGGAAGGGGTGGCCGCCTTCCCCAACATAGAGTTGAAGAATGGGTTAACCACTCTTCAGACATCCAGATAACCCCCTTTGCCCTCTAGCTTCTTACTCACTGGTCACAGGGGACTTACACTTCCAATTTATGAGCCTTTTTGAGATCCCATGGGGCGATAAAGAACAACTTTTCATTGGACTGTGGCTCCTTAGGCATGT